GCACAGTTTCTGAATATCATAGAATAAGTCGGATTTCCTATCCCTTATGATTAAAATTCCCTTCCGGATGCTGGGTGAGTCTCAAATGAACAACCGCTTTATAGCGAATAGTCAACCTCGCTACTTGCTCTCGGCCTGAGAATCAGCAGCGGCGTCCAAGGGAGTAGAAAGTCCAACACGGTCAATGGTGCGGGTGTAGATGACGCCGCCGTTGATGCGGTCCTCCTGGACGATCAGGTCCTTGGGATTGGTGTCAACAAGGAGACGGATCAGGTCGGGGCGCATGTAATGGCCACCCTAAGATAGAACGTTAGCTCTGCTTGCTTGTATATGAGTAAAAGAGTAGAGTGTGACTTACAAAGTCAGCCAGAGACTTGGTCAGGTGGATCTCATCAAGATCAATCTGTTGTTTTATGTATGTTAGCTTTGCATGATCAACTTATAGGAAAGTATGAATGACTTACATCAACGTAGAGAAGACCCTGGAAGTCCTTGTCAGGGTGAGGAACAAGGTTCTGACCATCGGGTCCGTAGATACGGCCGTTTCCGTTGTAGATACGGGGGTCCTCAAGCTCCTTTCCGGGAGGGGTGTTGACCTTGATACCCTCAGCAGTGATAGTTTGCCAAGGAGCAAGAGTGAAGGAGCCAGTCTCGATAGCATAGGCAGGAGTAACAAGCTGTGCAGTCTTGTCAGTCATCAGATCAAGTTTCTGTCTCTAAGAATAAACAAGGGGATATTACATCTGCGTTTGCCTCGGCCACATTGGTGTAGGGGTCGGGGTACTTGAGAGTCTCCTTGCCAGGATACAAAGGCCAAGCAGCGATGTGAACCTGCTCGCCGCGAGAGGCGGCGTGAGCCTTCAGGAAGGGGTTCATATTCTCCCAGCAGTTAAGGTGGCCAATGCGGCCAATCTCGGTGTCCATAACGGACTCGGTGGTGTCACCGGTGCCGTCACCGAAGATGAGGCGCTCGACGTGGGTTGCCCTGATCTTGCGGCGGTGGTTGACGACATCTCCAGCCGGGTTGATCATGATCTGCGTCGTGTACAGACTGGCGAGATCAACCTCGGAGTATCCGAGTGACACCCAGATCTTGTTGTTCTTGGCGGCCTCGCGGATGCGACGCATCTCCCCTGAGTCGGAGGGGAGACTGTTCTCGCGGTACTTCTTGAGCAGGGGGAGGCTCTCCTGGTAGTTCACCTTCCAGGCCCAGTAAGGGTAGCCGGGAATCCCTAGTCGCTTAGGTTAGCCAAAATCATCTTTTTGCATTGATTATGCTTACACAGCTCAGGGAAGGCAATGAGCTTGCAGCCATTCTTTCCGGCTTCGTTGATCCAGTGGATGGTTCGGCGAACAGACTCCTGCAAGTCGAACCAGCCGGGCTCGGCGTTGACGGCAGCGGCCTTGTACTTCTTGAGAGCGGGAACCATGATGAAGAGGCTGTTGTTTTGCTTTGAGATTGAAGCTAGTGTTTGTGATGTAGAATGGTGATCCCTTTGTTGGTCGAGGAAACAGGCACATTTTATAGATTCGAGGTACCTTCGTCAATGCGCTATGAAACCACCACGAATACTCCAAATCCCGAGATATAGAGTGAGACACATCAGCAGATCCGGAAGCCCTCGGATTCGGTAAATGCTTCTGAGGTTCGCGGTGCATGTTTGCTATCATGTAAAGAGGTGAAGTCGGGAAGTACAGATGTACGTAGCTCACCCCGGGATTTGCTTAGGTGCGGTGTCATGCCATGTGAGACGCCCTGGGGATACGCGGAAGTTTAGTGATTCGTAGCTAGCTGCAGGTCAATATTGAATCCGGGGTTTGCGGGGTCTGCTTTTCTTCATATCACGCCATGAGGGATTCGCCGTTCTGATCCGCAGCTCGAATCCCGAAGTTATACAGGGCTGCGTTTCAGCTAATCCCGATCTTATCTCAATCCCAACGAGAACAATTGAGCAAATCAGGACTGCTGTATGCCTATGTTCGATAGATAATAGACCGGTCAATGGGAGAATCATGAGGACTAAATTGCTATGCAGGTATATGGGTGTGCTATCTACAACCCTACGGGATTTCACGATGCGAATAATAACCGGTTTGTGAGCTGTAAGTTTGAGAACTCTTAAGCCTAAAAGAGGTGAGAGTCTGTCTGTCTCATTGTAATAAGATCTGATGGCGAAAAATAAACAAACAATCTTGATATAGGCGCTTATAAAGCTGGGAAACCTGAGCGAGCAAGGCTACAAAAAGTAGTAGATAGAGTACTATTTTATTAGGAGCAAATTAGCGCGTGACCTCACAATGATCAAATCCGACAATATCGGGCTCCTTCTATCTTAATTCGCTTGATCGTTCTTTCGTTGAAACATTCAACTGTGCCACCCAAGAAAGACGCGACCCCATTAAGCTGATTATTTCCGCGCCACATTTTCAGGGCCCGCTCAACGTTTTACAAAATTAGACATTATGATTCATTCGCTGTCGGTTAGCTGGCAAGCTCATGTTTTAGCAAAGAGAGGAGTATGGAATTTCCAAGTGATATTGCCAATGACTGAATTCTGCCTTATGTAGTTGTGCCCAAAGACAATTGCTGACTAGAACATTCTGCCTGTCAAATACTCCTTACTGAAGGGGTAATCCGAATACCCCATCGCTGATTTGACATAAAAAGTTTCCCTGTTATACGCGTTGAGCTCCAGACCTTCCCTCATTCTGTACACGAGGTCCGGATTCGAAATAAAGTATCGGCCAAATATGACCATAATGTCCTTGTCCGGGTACTTCTCATCCACGAGCCTCTGTGCCTCATGTGGAGTATATCCGCCAGCAACAAGGAGAACTCCATTCCAAAGATTGTATGCAAAGTCCAGTCGGTCATGACCATCGGAGTCCATGGAACCAGATATGCGCGACTCCACGAGGTGAAGATAGGCGATATCTGATCGACTCGCTTTGTTGATAACATCCGTGAACTGCGGGACTGGGTCTTCCATTCTCATGCCCTGAAACTTACTCCAGGGACTCAGACGGAGGCCGACACGTTCAGAGCCGATGGCATTGACGACGGATTCAATCACGTCGTTGAGAAAGCGAGACCTATTTTCCACACTACCACCGTACTCATCGTTGCGATTGTTGCTGACATCCTGGATAAATTGATCGAGGAGATAGCCATTGGCGCCGTGGATTTCGACGCCATCGAATCCCGCCCGGATAGCGTTCCTCGAGGCATCTACAAAATCCTGGGCAGTCTGTTTGATATCCTGGATTGTCATAGCTTGTGGTATCGCAGCGCCTTCTTCCATCGGAATAGCACTAGGTGCTAAAATAGCGAAACCCTCTTTTCGGGCCACTTCGACATCCGCAGCGCGGCCCATTGCAAATAGCTGGCAAAATATGTAACATCCTTTGCGATGGACTTCATCGGTGATGGTTCGCCACGCAGCGACTTGGTCTTCGCGCCAAATTCCTGGTGCGTGTGGGAAGCCGCCACATGTTGCTGATATAAAAGTCCCTTCGGTGATGATCAAGGTGCCAGGTACAGCGGCCCGTTGGCTGTAGTATTCCTTCATCAAGGGTGTCGGTACTCGATCTTCGGTTGCTCGGAAGCGAGTGAGTGGAGCCATCCCGATGCGATGCTTGACTTCTACATCGCCTATCTGGAGAGGCTTGAAAAGGCGTGATTGAGGCATGGTCAGAGATTTTTGGACGTACTCGAGTATGATTGAAAGATGAAAATATCATTACAGATTCCGGGAAATTCAAGTATTTGTATTTGCTGTTGCAACTCATAGCGTAATATTCGGAAGAATATTATAGAAGTTGTTTTACACATTTAGGGCAGAGAAATAATTCCGAAAAGGGAAGGGAGATATCTCCAATTATGGAAAGGTCAAGTTTGCCACGTTTTAGCCAATCATTTGTTCGAGGGAGGATCTGCGCTAAAGTGTTCATCCATCTGGCCCGGGATAGTAAGCCCGATTACAAATACATGCAGAAGGTCTGACCTTGCATGTTTCCAGGGTTCTATTCAAGCTCTAAGCTGAAGAAGGGGGTCTATTAACTATTTTGTAGGTTATTGGTCAAGTCACTGGTGAAATATATAAATAGCCCAAGCAGAAATTTCGCATTTCAATAAATCAAATATGACTTTCTTCGCAGAAAGCCCTGACCTGGGATTCAAAAGCCTTTTCTGACCAAATAAACTGCTTCAAAATTTCCAGCAAATCAGGCCATGATGAATACAAGTCCCTAAGCCTTGTTTTGCGGTTCAAATGCAACAGTGCCAGGTATCCTGATCGTATAGTTCCCGAAGGGGCAAAAGCTCCGCCGATGTGTAGTAACCAAGCTAGCAACTCGGGCCAATCATCCCATAAGAAATCGTGGCTTGCTTCTCGTAGCTTATTGAGTAACTGAAATGAAAGGTGGGACTATATCATCCAAACTTAGCGCAACGCGGTAGGAGACTGGGGTGTGCGAGAAAGTGTTCCATGATTTGACTTACGGGAATAGTTGAAGTACGCCAAAGCTTACAGCGTAGCATAGTTGAGCATAGATATGCCGCTAGATGGCAACACTCTGAAATTGAGCAACAATTTGGTAAGTTTACCAATCTCGACTGGATAGATGCCTGGTGGTTATCAATGTGTGCCATCGAAATGATGTCCTCTTCACCGAAAAAGGTAGAGTCTCGGATACATTGCAATGCAAAGACGTCTTTAAGCACCTCAACAAACTCTTGGCCCAGCAAGTGAGAGTGGGTCCGGAATCCAGGTGGCAGGGTGAAGGAATTTTGAACGAAAGGATCTCTTTTCCACTGAAGCTCGGAAAAAGTTGTGTGATCAACAACCCGGCTGGACCCTGTCATAACAGAGAAATTCAAATCTGACCTGTTGACAAATGTGAGTGAGTAAGGGCTGCTAAAGGATATTGCATAGTTACTCACCAGAATATGGCACGTTTTATACCATCACTCAAATACACACCCTTTCTTCGACATATGTCTAGAAGCTGCTGTATTGCCCCCATGTGGAGTTGGACTTGTCGCGGTACTCCAAGCTGAGCCTGTATTACCCAAAGGTTAGTCCTCGTAATTCTTTGCCAGCCAATGGGAATAAATGACAGCATTATACGGACCTCTACCCTAGCTAATAGCAAGATAGCACCCAATGTCGATTCCGTGGTAGCCATATCTGGAGAGTCCATCCTTCGACGAATGGAACTAAGAGCCTGACCCTGATATCGGAGGCACTCCCTATCGATGCAGCCATCAGTGCCCGCGAATGCAAATGTGAGCATAGCGGCACTCAAAAAAGCGTGGTCATCTAGCCCTTTTCGGAAAACAGAGCGAAAGTTCTGGAGCACAAGCTCGTCTAAAACGCTAAAAATTGGCTCCGTAGCATGTTGCACTTTGTCTGGGTTATTTAATGTAAGCTTCCACCGGCAGTGTCTAGGCACTCGCGAAGATCTTACGTTGACTTAACAATGCCTGCAGCTTTGATGACTCTGCAGCGAGCATTTGGGACGCACTGGACGCACTGGACGCATATGTAGACAGGGGTAATGGTGGCGAGGCAAGTGATTGGACTCTCTTTCTTTTGCTCAGGTTGCGACCAGAATCATCTTTTGAAGATACTCCACGGAAATTGAGACCCAACTTTTGCTGGAGCTTGCGTTTGTTCTCGAGGCCCCGGGCTACAGCGTGTGATCGGGCTAGGCGCTTTTCTGTGCGGTCATCTAGGCTTTTGAGGGAAACAAAATGGAATTTGTCGTCTGAAGAAGAGGTTAAAAGGTAAGTAAGAAAACGAAGCCAGAGGCATTGCCTTGAGGCTTGGCCTACCTAGATTGAGTTCATTGTGTTCGGCCATTTACGCGAAAGGATATGTGAATCAAAACGTGAACACTGCTCAGTGCTTATACAGTTAAGTGCAATCGGTACAGTTTTCAGACAGCTTTCAAGATTCATGTGGTGAAAATGGATACCTTGTCAATATTGATGGCGTAGGTGGATTACAAATCGGAATCCGTAACTCATCCGGGCACCAACAATCATGGAAATAACATTACCTGAGTATATTAGGATATACAATATACAAAAATAATAATAGATGAGTAAATAGGCATGAAAGTCTGTAGAATCCGTACTGGTACATAGAAATCCAGATTTCACAAACCGGATCGAGGCGCTTAAGGGCGCGCTTAGATTACTCAGTGATCAAAAAGCGGCGAAGGCCTAAGCACTAAAACGGAAAGAGAAAGCCAATAAGTGGCAGCGGAAATCAAGTACGAAGGTGTGTTATGTGTGTTTATGTGCGTCGTGTTTTGCGTGGCGTGTGTCTTGCGTTTCGCTTGGCTTTTTCTCATTTTTTCTGCTTTTGGCGTCTTTCACGGTTCTGTCTATCCCTACCCGCAACTTTGTTGTAAGCAGTTCGTTGAGTCTAGCACTTGGCCCCCATTTACCGTACTCTACAGCCTGCGTTCGAATCAGATCGGGCACAACGAACTACGCTTGGCAATCGGTGGCTATTGGTGGGTATTCATGCGGCTAGATGCATTTACGCACTCAGCGCTCTCTAAGCCATAGCGGGGGTGGGATTATGCCATGTGACTCTCGACGTGTCAGTTTGGTGCGGCTGAGCGAGAGCGCTGCCTCTGTCTTCGGATAACAAGGAACGCAAGTCGAAGACAGCGAGATCTCAACCCCGGCCAGGTTAACATTCAACCATGGCGAGAACAGAACTTGTGAATGATATGAAACTGAACGCTGAGATTCACCCCGATGGCAGCACCTCACACTATACCTACGCCCAAGGAACCGCTGGCAGATGGCCAAAGGCAGAAATCTGGAAGAGAGGGAAGATACTTGGATCAGGGGGTTTCGGGGTAGTCTGGGTTGAACAATGTGTATCAAGTCAAGGCCCGACCCGGCTGCGAGCTGTCAAGATGATTAAGAAAGAGTCCGACTCTTCCAAAAAGGCCTACTGCGACCAAGAGCTCGAAGCTATTGCGAAGTTTTCTCAGCCAAAGGTAGGCGCTATACGTAGATCAATTTCATTATGTGGATGTTGATATCGATCAGTACTCACATCTGTTTGTGAAATCGTTCGGATGGTTCGAAAATCCGGAATCCATCTTCATTACTATGGAACATATTGATTTGAGGGACCTTCAAAGACAGCTGACGGGCCCAATACCGGAAACCGAAGCACAGCAAATCTGTTCCCAACTTCTACATGGTGTTCAATGTCTGCACGACAATAAATTTGTCCATCGTGATCTCAAACCCCAGGTAGGTCACCTAGGACTAACAGGATCGGATGAAGATGCAAACTTGCTGACTATACAAGAATGTTTTTGTGAAATCCAAAGGGCCTAGATGGCACGTCAAAATCGGCGATTTCGGCATCAGCAAACGATACAACGAAAGTGGTGCTTTGCAAACGAAGGTGGGCACTGACCTTTACTTTGCACCCGAAGTACTTGGGATGTACCCTCCTGGTCGGAAGCCGCCGCACCCTAGTCTTTACACAAATCGCGTTGATATTTGGTCACTAGGCGTGATGTTGTTCTATCTCCTTTCCCGCGAGTATCCATTCCCGAACGGCAAGAGCCTCTCGTTCTATGTTCGGAATTCCCACTTCCCGTCCTTGAGCATGCTTCGGTCAGTCACCCAGGAGGGCCAAACCTTTTTAAGACGTCTCTTGACTGCAGACGCAACAGTGCGGTTGTCCGCTAAAGAGGCTCTCGAAGAGGGATGGCTGAAACAGCCCTCCTTCGATCTGGTCTCAGGAATATCGCGGATAGCAATTTCCGAAAAGTTGACGGCTGGCCACGGCCTGACAACAGCTGTTCCAAACCCAATGGAAACTACCCACGAAGCTTCGAGAGGCTGGGATGACGGAGATGTTTCTTCCGCAATGGTTGACGAGCAAACAATTAGGGCTGCACAGGGGCCACAGAGCAGATTGTCAGCCCGACAGAAGTCCACATCTTTCAAACAGGCTCTGGGATCCGACCCGCTGGACGACTTGAACACATCTCATAATGAAGGGCTGTTGTTACTGAGCCGAGAGCAGTATGCAGACGCTCAGAGAATGTTCCAGGAGGCCTTCAAATTGCGCAAGCACGCTTTTGGTGCCCATCACGAAGACACATTGGCTTCTCTTAGCTCATTAGGCGATACTCTATACGATCAGGAGAAGTATGACGAAGCAGAAGCTATATACCAAGATGTCTGGATGCGAAGAAAACGAGCTCTTGGCGAGAGTCACCCAGACACCCTCAGATCTTTATACAAGTTAGGTAAAATTTTCTACGTTAAAGGGGAGATTGCCAAAGCCGAAGACTTGTATAGGGACGCCTGGGAAGGTCAGAAGCGGGCTCTCGGGGAAGATTGTGCAGACACATTGGATTCTCTAAGTGAATTAGGTGAGGCTCTTTTATGGCAAGACAAGAATGCCGAGGCCGAAGGCATGCACCGGGACGCCTGGGAAGGTCGGAAGCGGGTTCTTGGGGAATATTGTGAAGACACGCTGGATTCTCTTAGTGCCTTAGGCGATGCTCTTGCCGGTCAAGAGAAGTATGTCGAAGCCGAAAGCGTGCACCGGGACGCCTGGGAAGGTCGGAAGCGGGTTCTTGGGGAATATTGTGAAGACACGCTGGATTCTCTTGGTGATTTAGGCGATGCTCTTAGCGGTCAAAAGAAGTACACCAAAGCCGAAGCGGTATATCGACAGGTTTGGGAGGGACGTAAAAAAGTACATGGGGCAAACCACGAGGATACATTTTTGTCTCTTCACTCCCTAATCTTTTGTCTGTTTGAACAAGATAACTACGCCAAAGCCGAAAGATTACAACGTCAGCTTTACGAGAGTCGTCGGGAAGTGTTTGGATCAAGCCACAAGGACACACTCACCTCTCTTCACTCCCTAGGCATATTTCTGGATTTTCAGAGAAAGTATGCTGAGGCTGAAGTTGCATTTCGGGAAGCTTGGAAAGGGCGCAAGGAAGCCTTTGGTGCAAACCACACAGACACACTCGATTCTCTTAAGTGCCTACGCAATACGCTTCGCGACACTTCACCATTGCCGAAACCGGCAGGTAAGACCAAGCGCAGCCTACGAAAAAGCCTGAACCCATTCTGGGGATAATACAGCGTCATATTGTCTGGAATGTATAGTCTCTGGCGTGCCAACTCTGACTTGCCATCCTTAGTGAGAGGTCAAATATCCATAAACAATGTGACTAGCGGGATGTGGAGTGACCTTGGGCGAAGCTCGATTTGACCTGGGTTTTACGGCCTTTCTATCTATACTTTGTCTCTTATGAAGGACGGATTAAGACTGGAAGACATTTCAAGAGGAGGCGGTGCGGTGCTGGCTCATTTCCATCGAATAACATGCTGTCTTGAATGATTCAATTAACCTTGTTATTCTGCATCGGAAGCCATGTCGGAGATTGGAAATGCGGGAGATCTAGTACTTGGGAAGAGACGGCCTACTGTTCAGTATGCTCTAGCCCAGCCTATTCTTTTCTCAACAGAAAGCAAAATAGAGAAGGCGCGAATGTTAAGACAATACATACACACTAATACAGGGCGCCAGAATAAGATTTTGATCAAGGATCACCGGATAACGGGAGGTGAGAATGTAAATAAGAAGAGTTGCGGACCATGTTGTGTGGAGAAACGAGATCCGACTGGGATAGCTCGGTTAGGCGGCAGAGTGAAGTCGGGTGAGAAGCGAACGAGCGTAGCTTTGGGTTAAGGCAAATTACATGGCATCTGAACTCCGTCTATATCTACTGTCTTTATAGCTTTCTAGATCAATAGTGGGCTCTATCCACAGTTCGCATGCAAATCACAGGCACAGCGAAATACCCTAGGCGAGCAATGGCTATTGGTGGATAATCATGCAGCTAGGCTCATTGACGCACTCTTCGCACTCTATGCCATGTGACCCTCGACGTGTCAAGTGCGGCTGAATGAGAGCACTGTCTTCCTCTTGACTTCAGACTCATCGAGAACTGAATATTCAAGAGTATATCCCTTTAGTGTACCATGAGCGGCTTAGAGATCGGTCTTGCTTTGCCCGGTGTAATTGATTTATGTTTGAAGTACGTGGCAAGGGTACCGCTCATTGCCCCAGGCTAAAATTTTACAGATACGGAAAGATCATTGTGACCGCATATAAAGACTTCAAACAAGCCAATCAAGCGATCGAGGAACGAAAACTTGCTGTCGACGCTTCTTGGACCAAAACATCACAACAATTAGCCTTCCTGCGTCGTGTGTGGGACAGTCTGGGTGAGGATTACCGGGACCTTCTGTGCCGCATTCTTCGTGTCTTCGAGAAAAAGCTAGAAGCTGCTGTCATACAGCTCAGCAAACTTGAAAAACAAGCCAGTCAGAGCGGAAGTGGGTTGCCAGACAAGTTAAAAGCAGCGAAATACGCCCTGTTGAAAAGGAATCGCTGGAAAAGGCAGTCCAGGATCTTCAATCATGGCAAAATGAGTTAGACACGACGTGGTTTTTGGTTCTGCGGATAGCCGATCATACTATTCTTAAAGATGAGTTGGTCAAGCGCAGAGGAACTGAGAAGCTATCCGTTGCTAGGCATGTATTAGATGCGTTGCAGACGGAGCCAGATCAAGCGGTCTCACTTTTCCTTTCTCAAGACAAGATTCACTCGGCCATGCGTTCTGATATCCTATATTCAACATTAAGAGTCATCGAGATCGCGGGCGTGGGTACGTTTATATTGGATTCCGCGGACTGTTCGTCCAGAAAAGACGCTCAAACGTTTGCCAAAAATGTTCGACATCTAGCTATGAGGCTTCATCAAGTCGATGCGAACGGATTTCATCTCCTCAAATGCCACGGTGTGGCTCGCATAACGGACCCACACACCAAGCAGCTTCTCTCATTTGACTTTATCTTCAACTTCCCGGAAGGATGTCATAAACCTCAGAGCCTTCGGAGCCACCTTCTTTCCCGAGCAACTCATTCTCTCAGTGACAGGATCAGCCTTGCCAAACAGCTTGCCACATCCATCAATTATATTCACGTCCTTGACTTTGTGCACAAGAATATTCGTCCAGAGACTATCTTGATTTTCGAAGGCAATGGAACTCATCTAGGCCCATTGTATCTCTTGGGATTCAGGGCATTTCGCTTGGCTGACAACAAAACATTACGGCTGGGCAACTCAGGCTGGTCCGAAAATATATACCAGCATCCTGATCGACAAGGAAGCAATCCCAATGCAGACTATGTCATGCAGCATGATATATACAGTCTCGGAGTATGTCTGCTCGAAATTGGACTTTGGGAGTCACTTGTGAGTAGCGAGGGACATGCGAACACTTTGCTGGCTGGTTTCAAGTGTGAACCTTCGGCCTTCATTGCAGACAGATCGCTTAAGGATCACTTTACGACGCTAGCGAAGGAACAATTGCCGATCAGGATGGGTGAGATGTATACTCAGGTAGTCGTGAACTGTTTGTCTTGTATGGATGAGATGAACGAAGAGTTTGGCAATGAGAGCGAGTTTGAGGATGCTGATGGCATCCTGATTGGGGTCAAATATGTTGAGAAGGTACAGATATACGTTGGCAATAATACAGTGAGAGAAAGCAGAGCTAACAGATACGCAGGTTCTTCTTTTGCTTAGTGAAATAACAGTTTGATGAGCAAGAGATAATAAGACTTTATGATGCAGTAACTTACCAATCATTCATCGCTTTTTCCAACAAGTGCTCAGCATCGCCCGAACTGAAAGCGGTTTGATATTTGGAAATCGCTCGTTTAGGGAACCATCGCGTGGCACACATGAGTTTTTGCCAGTGCTACATAACTCAAAGATTAATATAGGTACCTAGCATTAGGTCTTGGGTTAGCTTAGGTCTTAGAAGTCGGACCTAAATTGGGTTTCAGAGAAGTCTTGGTAGTCGTAGAGGGCTTGTAGTCGTGGAGCGCATCAATTATTACTGGTGTCACGGTTTGTTTCCGGCCTATTCGGGTTTAGGGCCCATAGATGCTTCTAAATTGCGGCAAGTTTCTACGTCTATTAATGATCGTAAGCTTCATATCACGAATGAGATAGAGCTTTGCGACGTGGAGCCTTGGAACCATGTTGTGTGGACTTCTCTTTGGACAACTTCAGACGACGGGTAAGAATAGGCGAGGAAGACTGGTTGCCGCCTGAGAAGAGAAGAAGGGGCAGGGATGTAGCGCGCGTATAGCAGTTTCGTGGAAAATATGTTGTTTGAGGTCTCACAGTTGAATTGTAAAATACACGCACTGTTCTAGGAAGCAGTCTGGCGACAAAGGTTCGACGAGCATATCCTATCAGGACTCGCGCATTTCAGATTTATTTTCCGTGAATGAAGTTGCAAGAGTGTTATGGTATAACCGATTTCGAAACTACTGTATGAGTTGACTTTATTTCTTAACTTCGACCATCCAATTTGAAAGACAAATGATGAATTAATACATCGCCAGTGGAGGTATCATCGCTGTGGGATCCAGAATCCATGCACGAAAGGAGCGGGTAAAGCAAATGGGGGCTGCACGAGGGTGAGATGAGGTTCGATTGGGTAGGATAGGGTAGAGATAGAGGAAGCAAGTCAGGTATATGATAGATATGACAAGAAACCATTTTTGGAAGACCTACAGACACAAATAGTCTGTGAGATCTTGAGGGAAATGCAGATATATAGTAATACACCCAACCTACAGGACAAGGCTCTTTTCAAAAGGCGTGTCACTAAAGGAGTTCACATACCAACTGCAGCGATCATACCAGTGACCGCATTTTTCTTTTGTTTTCGTGATAGCACAGAGAGAGAGATAGGGACAGAGGATTAAGAGATGTAGGAAGAAGGGAGGAGAAATGACAAGAGAGAACAGAAAAAAGTGTCTTCAGGTTTAGAGAGGATAACGTTTTAGGGGCGTGGCCAAGTCCCCTGAATCGGCGGCAACGGGCCTCCAGATACAGACGCGGACGAAGCTGGAGGTGCACCCCGTGTGGAAGGTGGAATTGGAGTAGAAGGATACGAAGGAGGATTAGCAGGCCAAGAAGACTGAGCCTGAATGGGGTCCAACATTCTCGGTGGCTGAGGGCCCGCAGGGGCCGGCTGTGTGCCTGACACAGAACGGCCAGAATCCGCGCCTGACCACGTGGCCGTGCCTGCTGGGTCCACAGTTGGGATGGGGGCAGGCTGGCTAGAGCGTGGAGAAGAGGGTCTTGGGGGTAAAGAGCCCAGCGACATTGTTCGGCTCAGCTGTTCCCGGTAGAAATCTCGCTCGGAATGGTAGTGGTCTCGTTGTTGGACTAGGGAACGGATTTCTTCGCTTTGTCGCCGGATTGTATCCATGCTCCGTTGGATCTCCTCCTGTTGTGCAGTGAGCCGCTGCTCCAGTTGCATTTCATTGCGCTTGCGATTGCGGAATCGTCGGGATGCATCGCTGTTTGCTTTGCGTTTTTCTGCTTGGCTGGATGAACCTGACCGCATATCTAGGACGCATGGTATCATGCCAGGTGGGAAAGAACCGCTCTGTGGAGTTCCAGCTCTTGATGATGTCTCTTCTGCTTTGACTCTTGGTCCTGCGGGTGCAGGAACACCCCGGCTATGGGGCTCCATTGTCATATATGGAGAAGCCGCAGAATATGCCGGGGCACTGTGTGGAATGGAAACGCTAGTCACAACCGGGGAAGCACGACCAATCTGACTAAACGTCGAATGAGAAGTAATTGGGCTCGTTTCTTGGGAATTCGGGTTGGTGAGAGGTCCTGGTCCAGCGCTGGTCCGGCGTGAATGGAGACTACGTGTAGAATGAAGCGAAGCCGATACAGGAGGTTGCGTACCCGTGATGGATGCGATTGAGCGTAGACCCGTCTCTGTAGGTAGAGGCGAGCTGGTGGCGGGGGGTCGTGGGCCCATGAAAGGTTCCTGAGGGACCAGAGGTGACTGTGCAACGCTCGACTGACCAGAAGTCCTGCCACCCCCGCCAACAAACCTGGCCGAGGGTGAGTCTGGGTTCATGAGAACTCTTGGATGGGACCTCGGGGACAATGGATGCGGTGCCAATGGAGGACCCGAACGGGCTGTGGGTGAGGAACCTTGTGGTCGAGGTGAGGATGATGGGCCA